GATAATATAAGATCGTGTTTAAGATATTTTAGGCTGAGGAAAAAATTGTAACATGTTAAGTTTTATGACTTAATTAATATTATGAAGAAATTATTCCATGAAAATTTGAATTTACTATGTAATTGTTTGAGTAAGAAGAATTTACTCAAAATGAAATAAATTCTGAGAATTTAATATAAAAAATATTTTTGAAGAAGGGAAAATTTATAAAGTTGAGAGAGATTAAACAAATAGGATATTAAATATTTTATTTAAGAAATTATATTTATTTAAATATCATTTAAATTATATTGAAACCAAATATAATTAAGATTTAATTCTTGATTTTTAAAAGAGTTTTAATTAATAGTAAATAAGTTATACTAGAGGATTAAAAGTATTTAAAAAAATATGGAGAGAAAGTAAGCTCTGAAAGATATGTAGATAGGTAGATATATATATATATATATATATAATGTGAAAAAAAGAGGAAAAGAAATAAGATAAAAAAGAAAATAAATAAATACATACATACCTATATATATATATATAAAAGCAATATTAGTATTTAAAAAAATTAAGAAAAGGAAAGCAACAAAACAATAATATATATATATATATATATATAAACATATATACTATACCAACGTTGGGCTCATGGCCCACCCTTGGTTGGGTGAGGGTATTATAAACACCCTCATCCATGTTGCTTCAGCGAGGATGCATGCTTCGGCGCGTGGCGACTGGGGCAGGTTCGCGAGAGAGAGCGTGAGCGACCGTTCAAGGCGAGGGAATTTTTAAAGTCATAGTAATTTCAAGAGTGGATTGAGATTTTATAACACTGTTAGGAGTTTCCTTAAGGATTCGTTAATTTTACTTCGACATTTGAATTAGTTGAAGGATTTGAGAGACCTCCGGTTCTTTGAATAAATTCGAGTTCAGATCACTTCTTTTTAAGTTACCTTGTATGCTAGTATGGATAAATAACTAAATCTTTTTGTATGCTAACATCGAATTGAACCTAAATAGTATGTCTATAATAATGTTATTTGGAAACTCGGCCTAATGGTTAATAAAGTAAATTTTTTGGAACTTTTATATAAAACTATGGTTAGTGGAAAGCCCTTGAAAATTTTATAATTACTTGTTTGAAATTTTTGGGACCAGACAGACTTGCATTAATCATAATTTGATTGGTTAGAATTGGTTGAGCTGTTTGAATTGATATAATATATGAAATTTAATAGTGTCTATTGAATAATAAATGTTGTAAATTTTGAGACATACTTATTGTGAAAATTGTAAGTTGACTTGGAATAAAGAAATGATAAAAATATAACTATTGTTAAAAAGAATTTTTGAGATATTATTTGGCTTGCTTTATGAAATCAAAATAATTGTTATCTAAATATTAAGTGTTATGATATTTATTTGGCTTGTTTTATGAAATCATATAATTGTTATCTGAATATTAAGTGTTATGATATATATTTCCATGAGATATTGTGTGTGTGTGTGTTGCTTTCTTGAATTATGATTATGTGTGTTTCTAGCATGCTTTTGTGTGTGTGTGTGTTGCTTTCTTGAATTATGATTACGTGTGTTTCTAGCATGCTTGTTATGCTTGTTTGAGATACAATGCTTGTGTGTGTGGGGTGTTATTTCTTTCCAAGCATGCTAGCTTTCTTGAATTATAATTTAAACTTTTCTAATATGTTTGTTTGTGCCTTCTTGAATTATGATTTAAACATTTCTAGCATGCTTGTTGTGCTTGTTTTTGAGACCTAATGCTTTTGTGTGTGCGTGCGTGCGTGTGTTTCATTCCAACCATGCTAGCTTTCTTGAATTATGATTTAAACTTTTCTAGCATGCTTTTATGTGCGCGCGCGCACCTCATAAGAATAATTACCTTTATTTGAGTGTTTGTTTAATACATTTGCTTTTGTTTTACTTTGGAATATATAAGTTTGGAAAAAAAAAAACTTTTAGCCTTTTCTACTATAATAGCTTGTAATGCTGTTTTGAAACCTTTTTTCTATGATAGTAGGTACTCATGTTAATTATATTAAGATGAATATTTTTATAACCATGGTAGCTCTCTAAACTTTAATTTAAATTCTTTTCTACTATGATTACCTTTTAAAAAATATTTAAAAATTAGTTTTAAACTTGTATACCATGGTAATTATTTTCATTGGTTTAAATCTTTTTATTAGCCTGATATTTGGTTAATTTTTTTTTTGTTAGAAAAGGCTAATCCAACATATTAAATATGAAAATTTATTTTTTTAAAATATATTAATTAACATGGTAGATATTTCTAATTTTCATTATATATTAATTAGGAAGTCCAACAATCAAAAGAATTTCTAAGTTTCTATCTCCAACTGATTTGAGATAACTTGAAACAATTGGCTTTGATGATTATTGATATGAATGACTTTACCAATGAAATATAAGTAAGCCTAAAAATTGTAGGGAAGTCTATTACTTATAGAATCGCTAGAAATGATATCAATGATCTCATTATTTTAGAGTAGTTAGACTTATTAATAATTTAAGTTTTTATCATATAAATGTTTGTTTTTATTTCTAATTTAATATTTAATACTTTTTATATTATTGCTAACATATTTGTTATCATCAAAGGTACCTCCACAATATGTGTACCCAACTCAATGTGGATCATAATTATGGATTATTGTCTCCACTTTTAACTACATGTGGCAAAATGAATCTAAAAACATCTTATATTGAAAGGTCGATGCATGGGTTAAACAAGAGGTGTTGGTTTTCATCCATTATTAAAAAGTATTAAATTTCTAATTAATCTCTTAACTTATAAAAAATTTGCTTAATGATATGATATTAATGTAAACTAATATGGTGTAGAAATTATTGGATACTTCCTGTTATTTACCTATATGAAAATATTATATATTAGTTCTATTTGTTACAATGGAAAGTAAGTGGTGATATGAAGTCATTGTTTGAATTTTAAGTTTTTAAATAGCTCTATTTTGTGAAAATTATTAACATATATTTAATATTTTTTTAAGTGTACATATTTGACAAATAGATCTTTAATGATGTATTGGAGGTTAGAAGAGAACTGAAATCAAATGGGTGCATATACAAGTAAGTATTTCAAATTTATTTTTCCTAATTAAAATAAAGATTATATTATTAGTTTTATGAATTTAATTATTCTTATTTTCTTAATAATGTGCTCGATAATCATGAAATGTAGAATGTGGCTATTATACGATGCTTTTTATATAAGAAATCATCACTAAAGGTATTATCCACTCATTTCATAGAGTAATAATTTGTTAATAGTAATTTATATTTTGGAGCTCTCCCTATGCTTGAATTATTATTCATGCACATATTTTTAATAAATTTGTAGTATTTCAACAGTTTAGAGCCATATTTTGAGAAAAAGTTGAGACACACATGCAATATTTTGTCTAGTTCCTTCCTAGAATTAACAAGATTTGACTATAGTTTAGATAGATATTTATATTGAAAATGTAGATGTTCAGTTGATATGTCCATACTGAATATATTTGTATCGGTCTCTGGAGCTACTGTTTATATAAATGTATGTTTTATAAGTAAGGGATGTAAAGCACACAAAATGTGAGTTTTTTAAATAAAAAAATAGCAATTACCACAACAATTATGATAAATAACTGTTAGCAAAATAACTATTTATGATAACAGTTGTGGCTATAACTGTTGCCATAAATGGTGACTATTACCAATCATGGCGACAATTCAAAGAGTATCAATTACAGTGACAATTTTGAGCTTGAATTATAGCCATAATTGATTTAATTTTTGTGACATTTTCGTTACAAACTGTTGCAAAAATTCTTTTATTAATACTATACTTATTTCTATTACACTTCGTCTTATGGTATGAAAATAATTTTTAACTATAATGAAAATTACTTTTTGCATTAGTAGTTATGTTATAGAAGTTGATTGAGTTAGGCATATATCCAACCATTGTTTTTCAGGCAGCTGCTCCAAAGATAAACAATCTTAATCACTCAAGAAGGATTTTTTATGATCTTTAAATTAATTCCTTTCACTATGAATGCCATACGGTCTACTAAATGTCATTATAATCTACTTTATACCATTGCTGGCCCTTTAATAAAATTGGAGACTTGATAGGTGGTAGTTCCATGATTATGCCACACCATAATAGATTTGTTTAATGTTCATTCTCTACTTATTTGTCTCGTGATTACCTTTCACTCAACCTTTTTGAATGGCAGTTATAAAGCATGGTTAACAATGGACTTGCGATTCAATATTTCAACTACCTACTAGCCGCTTGGGTATCTTGGCACTTCTTTGCTTACTGTGGTACCTACTACGTTGGTGCTTTTAATGCATTTATGCTCAATCATTGTTATTCTCTACTATTCATGCTTTTTTGACCTTGAGGATAAGGTTAGTTTTGAGGGGAAAGGAAATGAAATGTCATGAAAGAGGGCTTTTTTGGAATAAAAGAGGTATGGGCTGGGAGTGCAGTAAATGGTCGAGCTCAAAAGGATGTCAAAGGATCTCACTGTCTTAGTGTCTCTCTTCTTCCCTCTGGCCATAATCTATTGATTATGGAGCTTTTCTTCTCTTACCTTCTATGACTTATTTCCTTCTTGTCTGGTATCTCTGTGCCTGCTCTATCCTTTTTATGTTTTCTTATTTCTATTACACCAAAACAAACCGAATCAAATCGATTGACTAGAAATATTGACACACAACAATGATTTTTAAATTTGGAAGTAGGAAATGTAGAAGTACATGTTTAATATTTTTGAAAGTATAAATTTTCCAAATAATTGAATTTTCATATTATAATATTAGGTTATAAATAATTAAACCGGAATGATGAAATTTCCATAACTTGGCTGCTAAATCATGGAAATGCGAGAAGCACATGCTTAATATATAATGTAGATTATCATAATATGAACAAAAGCAATTCAAATCAAACCAAACGCAGAGAAACCAAATTCAAAGTAGCCACATGATAAAACCAAACAACTAATATTCGCACTTAGCACATGACGATATAATTAAGCACAAAAAAATTATAGCAGTAATATAATACTAATAGTATGATCCTAAAAGCCATCAACAAAAGCACGGACAGTGTTTGTAGTAGTGAAGACGAAGACAGCGAATCCTACAATAGTCGAACTTGTTCTCCAAAGATCACGAAAATATGTAAACTTGAGGTGCTTCCATGCACTATCGCAATATTCTCTGACTGCTCTAATGATTTCGTTGTAAGTGCTTGAGTTTATCACCCATCCTTTGTTTAGCTTCTTGATCAAAGTGACCACTTCCTCATTTGTGTCCAGTGTATGGACCAAAACATATTTGTCAACAAGCAAAGCCACATCTTCTGGAGTGTCAATGAGATCTCTAAGCAAACGAACATAGGCGCTAAAGTGATGCTGAGTCGGATTGTAGTGATGTTGTTCGAAAGCAATGATGTTTCGGAAAATAACTTCTGCTAAGTCGTCTATGATTATTTTCGGGAAATCCAAACATGGTTGACAAGACCGAGCCTTGAATCTGATGTCCATCAAGCTTCTGTCATTGACTTGTTTAAAGTTTATCCCTGCCTTCTTCAATTTCGTTGCGCTCTTTAGACTATGGATTTGTTGACCCCTCTTGTTGTTTGAACTAGATTCATGTGGAAAATAAAGAAAATAAGCTGGAAGGTAAAGGTATCTGATGAGATCCGTGAAGTGTTTGATGGAATTATGGCGTACTGCGCGTTCTTGTTCCCTTTGGTTCCCTAAACATATTGGCAGATTGCTGAAGTAGTCAAGGCAGAGGTTTCGAAACGTTGGATGCTCTTGATCTTTTGGTTTGGGTGTACCATCATGACCGATAAATCTTTGATATAGCTCCTCTAAGACGAAAAGCGGAAGTTGATTTTCAGCAAGTAACAAGTCTCGCTGGATGTTATGAGAAAAAGAAGGTGTATTTAATGGATAATCATCTCCTTTGGGACTTGCTGCTGGTGATGAGTTCCTCAGAAAGTGCTCCAATATAAAGACAGCATCCTCCAATATGATTTCACAAATTTCTAGTTTTGTGCGCCAAAGACTGGAATGTGGATACTGATTGAAAATCATTTCAGAATTACTCTCAATGAAATCTTTAAAGTTATGTTGCAATGCTTCCATGTTCCGCACACGACTGAAGAAGTATTTGTTGTATTTAACTTTTTGCTTCTTTATTTCCCTACAAGAAGCATGGTCATAGTGAATAGGACCAATGGATACTAACAAAGGAGTATAAGCTTCTTGATTAAGCATCCGAAGAATCTCAGGAATCTTGCCGCAACACTCTCTTGACAATGAATCTGGTGGGATGTGAATCGAGATCTCTCGCTGCATTAATGGTGTAGATGAATTCATGTCCTAATAATGTAAACAATAATTAATCAATCAATTCAATAGCAACCTTCAATTCTCAAAATATACTGACTTTGCATATTGAAATCCATTTAATGCAATTACTTCTAACCAACTGTTACTTATTATAAGATATTTCTGAACACCTCACCAAAATTAAGGAAAGGTTATTAAGTTATTAATTTTATTTAGAAATTAAATAAATTTCAAATTTTACCAATGAAAACTTTTAAATTTGCATTACATTTTTTTTTACAGTTAATGAGTTGAAAGTTTGGATTAACAGTAACTTTTACAAAATGTTTTCCATTATCATTAGGAGGGAGTAAATACTCTTCTGATCCATGACTACAGCTATATAAATGACAATTGGATCTCTCTAAATGCAATAATTCCTCCCAAATCCCTAGTATCTTTCTAGCATTAATGATTTTAAATTAAATAATTAAATTACCCTTGTTTAAAAAATTTTACATAGGAAGTTGTGATTTTTTTTGTTTAATATTTACAACTCAAAATAAAAGTTGTGATGTGACTGGTGATTTTTATAACTTGAATTTTAATGATAAAAAAAATTTCACTTAAGAAGTTGTGATTTTTTGTTTAATATTTGTGAATAAAATTTGTAATTGCTAAAAAAAAATTGTAACTAGTTACTTTCAAAACTTGAATCTTAATAATTGAAGAAATTTCATATGAGAATCATGATTTTTTGTTCAATTTTTGATATTTATAAAATAAAAATTGTAATTAATTAAACAAAAGTTATAATTAGGACTGGTTATTTAAAAAAAAAAGATAATTTAATTATTTAACCTAAAATCATTACTGTCAAAAAGGTATTCAAAAACTTAAAACAAATTATAGCATTTTAACAAACCTAATTGTCATTTATATATTTCAGTGAGATGTTATTATCATTTTTGCTTAAAAATATTTTGAAAACAGGAAATCAAACAGTTCCTAAAATTCTCTTCCCTCATATTTTCTTTATTAAATCAAACAGCTAGAACTTATTCCCTAGGATCCTAAGACATTTTAATTTTTAACTACATCACCAAAACCAATTAAATCGTTGAAATTATTTAAGAATAAAAATGATTTTTCTAATTTATCCCTATTTAAAATTATGAATTTAAAAAAGATTTAAAATAACTGTAAATAGAAATTAAAAAAAAGCCAATTAATACTCCGTTTTTTTATGACAAATATATCTCTTGTTCTTCATTACAAGACACTTTTGGTTTATTTTTTAAATTTTTGAAGTTCTCTTTTTTATCATTTTTTATCAACTAACTAATAAAAATAATTTTTATTAATGACAAGTGTTAGATTACATTACTTTTAAAAGTTAGGAAAATAATTTATACAATAAAAAATTTCAGGGTTTATAGAATTATTGGACAAATTTATGAAATAATTTACTCATTTATCCTTAATAAAAAAATAACCAATAAATATTAATTTAATTAGTAAAGATTTAACTTATAATTCTTAAAATAAAGGAATCAGATTCTGCTATCATTATAACAACATTATTCATAGATAATTTGTAGATTTCTATAAACACTTTTTGAATTTAGAAACATGCTCACCTTTTAAGTTTTAAAACGTAAGCAAACAAACCAACGTGAAATGATGAAATACGAACCTGATGCGACGCCGTTTCAATTGAACAGTCGCCTTCGCTTTCGATCTGAGCATCCGCCATTTTCGAGTTCCCACCCAAAAATCGCCTTTGCTTTCGATCGCCGCGCTGTTCGCTTCCCCGCGACGGTGCTGCCCCATTACTTATCTCTCTCTATATATAATATTCCAGATCATTCTTAATTTATAAAGTATTTTAATAAAAACTACATTATCATGTGCTCTTTTATAATTTATTTTTTAATTTCTTACATGGGTAAGCGCGGACATTTCTTGAATTGATCAACTGGCCATGTGGGACGTGGGTGTCACTCGCCAAAAGAAAATGCTCGCTCTCCATGTTACATTTTATAAAATGTAATCCCTTAAAACAAAAATGTAAAACATTTTTAAGAATTTAAATATTAAAAAAATATAAAATATTTATAGTATTTTAAAGTATAATTAATATGCTTTTTATTAGAAGTGCTTCTAATAAATAAGTTATTTTTTTATTTAGTTTAAAGCAAGACACTTTATTAAATAGAGGTAAATAAAAATATGGTGTTATTTGAGAAACAACAAACTACTTTTTTAGAGGAGTGTGATTTTATTAAAAATATTTTATATTTTTAAATGGAGGGAGTGTTAAATATAATTGTGAATCTTATTTGCTAAAAACATATAAACTTTTAAATATATCTTTCATTTAATAAGGGGGAAAAAAATATTTAAAGACTCAAGTGATGAGAAGTAATCTTGGAATAAGTTCGTCAATGAAAAATTATTTTTTAAAATATCTTATATTATAAAATATCAAATTACTATTAAAAAAATATCTTATATAATGGTAAGCATTGTTGATCACGACAATCTAAACTATACTTTTTTTAAGAGGGAAAAAAAACCTTGAATCTATATTGGAACGGATCTCTTTTCATAATTGTCCTGTCTAAAATTACAAATCAAGAGGAGGGCATTTTTAAGTTTCACAATTAATATATTAATAATAACAATTAATAATGTATCCTAAAAAAAATAAAAAATATTGATTTTTCCCAATAATTTAAAAACATTGATAACCTGTTTTATATATATATATATATATAATTTATTATTTATTAAGAAGATATATCAATCCTAAGTAATACTACAATTTCCAAAAAAAAAATCTTGAATGCCACTTCGTTCAAGAGCCAACAACAATCTCCTATCAATCAGAAAGCTTCATGGGTAGGCCTCTTAATAAAAGTGTGTTATATGAGCATAAATTTAAAAAAAAAACATATTAAAAAAAACTAGCATATTAAATTAAAAAAAATTTTAAACTTATAAACCTCACTTCCTCATCAATGTAAAACTCATCACACAAAAACATAGTCATATTAGTACACGTTTTTAATCATTTCTCACTCACAAATGTGAACACTTCTTAGGCGTGAATCTTTGAATGACTGTCAAAATCTCAAGAAAATATTTTCCCCCTTCATTTCGACCTCTATCTCTAAAGTCAAAAGGTGGGAAAACAAAAATCTTGAAAAGCTTGTGATTATGATCACCTCGATGTTCTTATTTTATGTTGTGTCTATTTTTATAAAATTATCTTACATAATTTCTCACACTCCTGGCAACTGGCCCGGGTCGTCTTTTTATAAGTGCATTATTGTCTTGGACTTTTCTACAAATTGTATTTTTTATTAATAGTGAGATGTCGATGATAAATTGATAATAGTAGAAGTCTGAAAGGCACGTTCACGCCTTCACACGGCCAGTCAATGGTTTCTTATTCTTTCTTTTATAATAAAAAGTTTAAGTGGAAGTTAAGTGGGTCCCAGGTCTCATAAGGAGCTGGACATGCCTGTAAATTAAAAAAATATTTATAGATCATCCATTAATAATATTTTTAAAAATAGTACAAATATATAGATTTCATGTAAAAATTAATTTTCAGCTTTTAGCTTTTTATTGAGTCCGTGCAAAAATTAACAGATGACTTTTAGGTCTCCTTTGATTATTAAAAAAAAAAGGGATGAATGGATTGAAAAAAATAAAAATAAGATATAATTAAAATGTGTTGAGAGATAAATGAATCATATTCATAACGGAGAATGATAATGTAATTTATGAAGTCGGGAGTCATAATTTATGAAATTTTTTTAAGATGTGATGATTTTCACATTTATAATATATAATATTGAGTTTTATTATACTTATCATAAAAAAAAGTAATTCAGTTTATTTTTATTTTAATTTTTTTAATTTATTTTATTAACCAAATGGGGCCTTAAGGAATTACTCCCTGACTTTTATTATATTCATACATTTTTATATGAGTTAAGAAAAGCTGTTACATGGTTTTTATTTGTCCAAAAACATTCAATTATTGATCTAATTATAACCCTATTTATCTTCGCTCTTTGAAGAAAAGACCACAAAACCTGGGTTGGTCCTGTCACGAGACCAATATTAAAACTCTATGATGAGCGTAAAAAAGAAAATCTAATATTTTAATAGAATACTATAAACTTGATTAACTTTATCATCTATCAGCATAAGAATTACAATTTTTATTAAAATGATGGAGTGTTAGGACCTGGCTCCATCGATGATATCCGTCTTCACAACTTTTCTGAATGAATTGAATAACTTCAACACAGTCATTGTAAATATCCACATTCCTAAAATTATTAAATTGATTTTGGTTGAAAATTGTTTATGTGAAAAATCCCCATTAACAGTTATTTATTTATTTATTAAAAAATGATATATTAAAAGTATTTTCTCTAAACCACAATATAAAGTATTAGTAACTAATTCAATATTTTTAAAAAACGTAAGTTGAAATCTAAAATTCTTAAAAAAATTCACATTTTTAATTATACCTTCATTAAATGTTCTATATAACTGTACTTTTAATAATAATTAAAATTTAAATGCATCATTTTCTTAAAAAGATCAGAGTAATAATTGAAGTAGAGATATAATTGCAAAATCAATTGTAAAAGTTACTCAACGCCTTATATTTTGGATCAAGTAAAATTTTTAAAAAATATTCTATATTGTGGCTTGGAGGAAGTAACTTTTTACAAAATAAATTAATTATGTAATCTATATAATTTTGACACAATTTTAACTCACTTATTATTATTTTATATTTTCAGTCTATTTTTATAAAGTTATCTTACATAATTTCTTACACACCTCCCAACTGGCCTGGGTCGTCTTTTTATAAGTGCATTATTGTCTTGGACTTTTCTACAAATTGTATTTTTTTATTAATGGTGATACGGGAGATGTCGATGATAATGGTAAGGACTCGGTTTCGGTGGATGAGCACCACTGTGCTAAACGTCAATGCTACATCGTTTCATGGTGCCCCCACCCCCTTCCTTTTCAAAAACCAGTTATTATAAAAATAAATAAATATTATGATACTATATTAAATAAATAAATTTAAATTGTTGAAGTTTGAGTTCAACAGTTCAAATATAGAACTTGACTTGAATAGTTTAGAAATATACTGAAAAAATTAGAACTGTAATTAAAATAATAATAAATAAATATTTACTAAATGTAGGTGTTCGTCTACAAACAACAAGCTATCAAGTGTGTTAGAGATGTTGAGTCTCTAATTGATAATAAAAGGATCTCCAGGGTCACTTACCATAATTTACCCTGATGTCAAAGATACACAAGACTTGGTGGAACAAGGGTTTTGATTATTATTGAAGTGTAAAATGATTACAAATCTAAACTGAAGAAATAAAGGTAATTGATAAACCTAAGAATTATAGATGCAGAATGCAAGTCTTTGGAGTGTTAACTATTGTCTTCTTCTATGCTTTGGTAGTCTATTTATAGTGATAAAGTGATGGCAACTTCTCCTTTAGAATTTAGAATATTGTTTTGAAGAATCGGGGATTTCGTGAGACTCATGGCATGATCTTCACTCATTGTCTTTCATTTTTGGTAGCCAGCCTGTCTTGCCTAAATATTTGAGCACGATGATATTGTTCTCACAAGATCTGAGATCATTTGAGATCGTGTTTTTATGTACCAATGATCCACCGAGTGGGTTTGCAACTAGTGAAATTTCAACATGCTATCTAGCTATGGCTTTTCATTGAGCTCGGAGTTGGACTCTTTATCTAGATGATTAATTAGGCTTGACTCTTCAGTCACTTAGCCCATTTGACTTTATGACCTACCTAATGTTTTGATAAGTGACTTTTTATAATTAGCTCAAACAGTAGAAAACTCTTTTAACAGGAATTTGAACCTTATTTGCTACGTTAGGAGCAGCTAGTTCATTCTATTAGACTTAATTCTTGTTCTAAACTACTCAAGTACTTTTTTTCTAGCTTTCCAGCATAGTTTTAAACTGTTAAGGTCAAATTCTATATCTGAATTGTTGAAACAAATTAAATTTATTTATTTAATATAATAAAAATAATTTTATAATATTTATTTATTATTACAATAATTTTGTGATTTTAGAAGAAAAAAGAGAAAAAAAAAATCTTCCATAAACGGATGCAGTTTAGCCGCCGAGCACGGCGGTGCTCATCCTAGAATGAGAACCGAAATCGAATCCTAATGATTGAAGTCCGAAAGGCACATTCACGTCTTTCAAACGGTCTGTCAATGGTTTCCTTGTTTTTTTTTTTTAATATAAAATAAAGTTTGGGTGGGATTGGATTAGCGTAAGCAGTTAACTTGCTGCTCCTTTTGTTATGAAAAAACGTTTGGGTGGAAGTGGGTCCCGAGACTCATCAGGAGCTGGACATGCCTGTAGATTAAAAAGAAATGCTTCTATAAATATTTATAAATCATCTATCAATAATATTTTTAAAAATAATATAACTATATAAAATCCATGCAGAAATTAATTTTTAATTTTTAGCTTTTTATCGAAGTCGATAATCTACCTCAAGAGGCCATGCTTAATTGATAATTTTTAGGTCTCATTTGATTATTAGAAAGGAATAGAATGAATGGATTGAAAAAATAAATATAAAAATAAGATAATTAAAATGTGTTGAGGGATAGGTGAATCTTAAGGGAGAATGATAATTTAATTCATGAAGTTGAGAGTTATAATTCATAAGATTTTTAAAAGGT